GCCGTCTACGAATCAATCAATTCCAGTACAAAAACTACGAAGGTCAAGTAGAAGACGGAAACAGATTAAGAAATTGAAATAATCATCACATAACATAAAATTCAAAAGTAGAGAAAAGTTTGGGGTCCAAACTTCAATTTTGGAGGGGGAGTACTGTCACGGGACTAAGTCCTAGGAATGGCTTAGCGAACTTGGGACTTAGAGACTTCCATGTACATAGTTAGATTTACTCTCCTTATCGCACAACACAGTTATTGATCCCGACCCATCCAGATCCTGATACTCCCTTTATACATTCCGTGACAGGGGGCACCACTGACAGGTGTTGAGAATGGTCCCCCTATCCCAACTGGTAATCAATAATAAAATAAATAGATATTACAATTTTACTGACTTGGCGAATGAGTCCCAAGCAGGTCCCACCGGAAGATACATACTTTAAGCAGGACGACTTAATTTGACGCTTGAAACACTCATATTTTGCTTTCATTTGCAGAGACCATTCGAGGTCAATCCTTATGGCGTACAACCCTTCAGTTTACACTCACATCATGTACAAGCATGAGATACTTATTAAATTCCAAATGCGCTCTCATCATTCCATGAATACGAATACATTGTGAGAGAGAGTGGTGTGTTGTTTTTCGTGGCTTAGAGCCAGCTTTCTGTTGTTACGGATGGAGTGGGTGATTAAGCGATCCTAATTCTGCCTGGGAGAACGGCCCGAATGGCATACCACAGAACTATTCAGCCCCTGGTAATTACCAGTGAATGGGTAAAAATTAATTAAAATTTCAGTCAGTGAGCCTTAGAAGACATGTGGCTTTATTTGTAAACTGGGCTAAACTAAGGTCTATAGAATGTATCGTAGATGTAGAACTCAGTAGTTATTATGACAAGCATACCAAATAACCTATGGGCATTTACTAGCAGCACAGTTTTCTGACCATATCTTCCTTCCATAACAAGTGACCCATTTAAATTATTTGCATCGTAATAATTTTGTACATTCTATCTCTCAACAAGAACATCATTAGGAGGCGGACAACGCTGCCTTTAATAGTTGGCTCGTTTTTATAATGTCGGCTGCACTCTTGCAAACAGGAACTTAGCAGGTTGGGTACTTTATAAAGAGTGAGCTGGCCAATACGAGATCCTACGGTTATGTTGTGAGCTAGTACGACGTCAAATAAAAAAACCAAAAAAATCAGGAACTTGGCGCGCACAAAGCTAAACATGTTGTACCCCTTGCTAAGATTCAAAATTTCCCACTCGTCAAGATTGCATCCATCCTCCGTATTATCTTTTAAAATTTTCCCGATTTCTCTCACGCCCATCCAGAAGAACTGTCTCAAATATTTGTGTCACGATTTTTGTCTTTCTACCGGTATTCGTATTGTCATCGGCGTATGTCCCATAATTAGCTGAGGCATTAGAATAGTAGGTGAGGTATGATCATTGGAATGAGGATATACTTAGTCGTACTTGCAGACTTGATGCGGTTTAGATAAGAATCGACCTCGTTGGGTATGAAAATTTGACATGCTGGGGTATCTTGAATCATTGCCTAACTTCTTTGGTGGTGCGAAGTTTGACTGAACTTGGCTCTAGGAGAATGCTTCACTCTCAAGTTCGTAGATGATACCGTAGACAGGTGTTCAGTCTTTATTCTCCACCTCGAGCCTCGACGCAACTTTGGCAGACGCTATAGACTTGATTTAGTACTCTGCCGCCAGGGAAGTGTCGAGTGTGTGCCGGATATTTGAAAAACGACAGGTGCTATGTAATTGTGTGCTTGCTCCAATTCCCCAATGGAATGACATAGCCTAAAACACGGAGGGCTCCATCATCGTGGGCACAGCCTCTAACTAGCTGCAGGTACGGAACATCAGACCCATTATGACAGAGGATTTTCGGTATCCACCTGGATCCAGCACTGTCAGGGTCACTAGATACCCCCTTGACAAGCCTTTTCTCTGCTTTACCTCTTTTAAAACTTTTGTCAGTGTGACAATGATAGGCTCTTAGTTGCGTTCAAGCATTGAAGTGTTTTCGTCTGCACATGAGCTCTTCTCATCTAGAAGTACTCTATGGACCCATCATAGATATTTGACTCACTACAAAGCGCTATCAAACACATGTAGTGCCAATCCCTAGATAAGGGGTCTTTTTCGGGACTATCGGATCCACTTCCGCCACCTCCCTAGACGTCTCATATTTACTAGTTCTGTAAACAGAATTTAGCTAGCACATCTGATTAAAGAGATGAGTGGCTAAGAATCGACTCAGTTGACTTGAGGGCGCTGCCGCCCAAGATCCTACTGGCATTTGAAACTAAAATTTTTTTTCGCTTTCAAGCTCCAGTTCAGGCTCACCCATCGAGTTCTCGTCCGAACAAGTTCGATGCTTGTTATCATAGAGGTAGGTCTTTGTCAGTTTGTATGCCACCGCTACGTATATTATGGTCGAGTGTTGTTGGCGCCGAATCAGCGATCTCTCGACTGGCAGTGCTGTGGGTAAGATACTATCTACGAAAGGATATTTTGAATAATCATGAACGGCTTGATCTAGAAATGTGCTTTTAATTTCTCGCATGTTTTGTTCAAAGTTGATGGGGATCATCTGGGTTCCAGAGCGATCTGATAAATAAAGGCGCGACTAGTTCAGTTGGATATGCGTCATTGCATGGCTCGAGAAGAGGACTAGGATAAGTATGTAGCAAGCGGCAGTCTCAGATTACTGCTTGCACTCTTGTGCTTGGATCTCAGCCAGCCCAGTGGCGATCACCGGTCGGCCTCCAATGATCGGCGCACTACGCGTCGTGGAAATTAAAATTGTAGCAGTCCGATCGTGATGCAGATAATCGTGGAGGAGCTGGGATAATTTGCTGGAGAGGACTTACACTAGGGAACGAAAACTCAAGAGATGTCAGTGGTATGCCCTATTAACCTCTAGCTCTCACTGTGAAGTGTACAGAGCCATGGTTGGGCCCTACCAATCATGCTTCTAGAACATTCTCCGACGTCCAAGGCAACACAAAGATTTTGATCGGACTACTTTATCGCACATAATATATGTAGGACCGGAAAGAGCCTGGTCTTCAATGTCCAGGAAATAATAGTCTGAAATTTTTTATTAAACGTAACACGTATTTTTGATGGTGATACTACAATCCTCCATGGTCGGAGATCCAGCAGGAACTACGACATAAATCTTAACTGTCAAGATATTTATGAAATTTCAACGTAGAGCGAAGCATTAGGACATTAATGGATAATAATAATTGAGACATTAATTCTATAGACTGAAGAAAGGAACAGCATATTTGTGTAGCCTTGGCTTTAGCAGCACAGCGAAATTCGGCATCTTAGCCGCCTATCAGAAGCCTTCTCTAGATCCTTGCTATCGACAAAGCAGCATAATTCCTCACGTGATGCCTAGGTACCGGTGCCATGGCATGTCAGTCAGCCCTCCTGTATGAATCAATAGGCATCCTTGAGACCTCAATTAGCGAATTTACGAAGTCTGTAATGGTTCTAGCCTAAACTATGAATGGTCATAGCGTCGGTACTATGATTTAATGATGATGCATGGTGGAGGCTAACCATAGCTGATGCACAAAAATTGGCGATCAATTATAGCTGCACAAGACCAGGCCAATAAGAAGTATTTTTTTAAAATAAGTCACACATTTTATATCCATCAAACTAGGTACCGCTTGATTCTAGAAGACAGATATTGCGGAATACTTCTAACGCTGATGTAGTGCAATCATATATTTCGGAGAATGGTTGTATTGATATGGCCAGAATTTTAAACTGAAATTCCATCAATTTACTTATAGTTGTGAGTGTACTATTGTAGGTAGGTCGAACGATCGTTGAAATTAAATAAGTGTTCGTTATTTTTCACATGTGTTACATCTATGCTACGGAAATTTTATCTACCCTACATCCGAACAATACTTTATCTGGATATCAGAACCCACGAATCAAGAGTGAGCCGACGTAATGCAAGAACCACCGGCACCAAATTAATCCTAGCCGAATGGATCATTTCTACAAGTAATTTTTCTAATAAATATTTTACTTTTGTTATGCTCCTCTAATTTTTTTGCCAGAAATTTCCAACAAAATTCCATACTGTATATCGACTGAAGAAGCCCAGGTCAAAAGCTAACACTTTTTTAAATTATCCTTTGTCTACTTAGATTTGGTTTTGGCACAGGACCAGTTATTTTGTAAACGATAAATGCCCCTACTTGATAAACACTTAATCTCTGGGTTCCATCCGCAAATACCACTGTGAGGCATGTCTGTTTACGCTGAACAGGCGACTTTCATCCGTAGATACCCAAGGAACAGAGATCTCAAAACTGTTAGTTGTCCAAGCCTGCCTTCGTCATTCGATACACGAGCAACATAGGACGGATACCTCGTGAGGTCAGACTCACTTTTTTAATACTCACTCGAGATAGCACAATCAATACGATGAAGTGGTGATTTTGCGAAGTTTCTTTGAAATTATATATTCACAAAAAGGATCAAATTGGGATGGATTTCAATTATAGTTTTTACTGAGTCTGAATATGGACTGCCAAGTTTTGTCTCGTCACAGTATAAATTTGATTTCTTTCAAAAGTGATATATTCACCTTTTCTCTCGTGGATACTGAGGTTCAGAAAAAGGATGACGTGGGTAAAAACTATTTTCATTTCTAGCTTTATCATCCTGATATCCCATAGCTAGGAATCAACCCCAAATTATTAAGCTCCCGACCTAATTATTGCGAGCTCTAGATTCCCCGGGGGAGGAAGGCATCAGAGCCTGTTCAAAAGATTACTTTTCCTAGATTAGGTGTTTAATCCAACACCTATCGGCCTTGATTCATTTCGCCTGGACTTTTTCGCACAAGATCACTCTGAAGAACAAGCTGTGATTGACAGGTTGGTTCGAATGAGCCCAATATGGGCCGATTTGAAGACACTAAATGTTATTCTCTTAGCCCAACCTAGACCCTATAGAGCTACTCATTCTCTCTTCCATGCTACCCCAATATACAATGGGACGCGGTTCCATCACATCCAAGCCCGACCCGAACCGTTGTCTTTCAACTTCCATATTGATCATGCTTGGTTGACGGCTCATAATTGAATTAATAGTACTAACAGTGCCTGCACTGTGAGCATTTTCAGGGCTTTGAGCGCCAGTAGAAGTGTCTGAGATGAAAGATGGTGCTGGAGATAATTCGAAATTGTGTTGACGAGAGCTACTTCGTGACTTTGATGAGCGGCGCAGATTCCTCAAAAGGACAGAAGGTGAGGTGCTAGAAATGCTAATTCGATCAATGCTGAACATGGTTATTAATGGTATGAGAGGAATAAATAATTCGAAGAACTTCAGTAGGCTTTGGTTAACAGATTTTTTAATGTATAGCGTTTAGATTTAGATGCCTTGGAGATCTAACGTGGAATGAATGTTTGAAGATTAATTGTACGTCTTTTGATTGAACTTGGAGGATCAATAGCTTGACAATAATTCTATCTGGGTTTCGTAGGTATCTCCCTTGTACTTGCCAAAGCTTCTACGCATGTAAACACTTTGAAAGTATGGTTGTCAGGCCAGGATCTTGTCGAGATCACACTGATATGAGAGTGTATAGATTGAATTGAATTTTGAAAGTGAGGAATAGGTGTGCCTTTAAATAGTTTAAAATTAATGATAATATTGGCGATATACGAGAGATTAAGAGCCGGGTCGAAAATAGAATGAAATTGAACTGTCTGCTTCATAGAAATGGATGGGAGTGCTGCGCCTTTTCAGCCTCCAAAGCTATTTTCAGATAGAATCAAAGGTCCACTCCTGGATGCAGTCAATGACATATGAGAAACACTAGGGTCTTGTATCAGCTGTAATTCGGAAGAATCATTGGAAAATGGACGGGCTAGTGGGTCGTTATGCGACATCGTGTATCGTTTTGCAGGATCTTGGCATAGTTTCAAGTGTCAGATGAGAAGAAATCAGCCGGGAGCCCGGACCTCGCTTATTAAGTGGCACAGGCATCTTCTTAGGACGGAATATCAAACGTCAACCCCCCTCGCTTATCAGACTGGCACCTTCGCCATCGTGATAAACACCATCACTATTCCAAATGCTGATCCTTTCGCTAGGATCCTAATATCTACCCAAGTCGCTTTTTTGGGGACTGCCTATCGCCTATCATGGGAAAAATATGATCGTCGACTGCTAACCTCTCCTCTTCTATGCTTATCATATACTACTTGTCCCAGTATGACAAATGTTGTTTCTAAAACACCCAGAAATTTCGGTGTATCATCATACCCCCAAAACTAATTTATTTCATGCTATCCAGGATAAATCAGCCTGAACTTCAGGCTTACCTTCAGACGAAGACATCAGACAAGGAGAGAAATTTGTCATTCACTTTCTTTGGCTCAGTCATCCAATTATGCTTCTTAGCTAGTTTTTTTAATGTCATAAACCCAGCAGTAATCAAATTCTCCCTTCTAAATCGCCTGTAGCGCTGGGATCAGATCAGTATGAAACGTGCAGCTTGTTTCCCTCCCGAGATCACGATTAATATCCCTGGAGGACCATCACCTATCTCTTGTACATCAGATAAGAAACCTCAACTTCTCAAACATGTCACTCTACTCCAAGTCCCCACCACCATCTGATATCATTACCCTGGAGGTTAGTTTTTTTCATTATTCGTCGATCTCATTGTCATACCAGTGATTTTTGATTCCAATACCGTTAATTCTAAACCCTGATTTCATCTTACCCTTGCCGTCGCCACAAAACGCCATACAAATTTCAAGTTCATCAGATCTACCAACTAAGTATTAATCCGGTTCGATGTTGATTGCGACCCACTCGTTGTGCTGATAGATTCTATGAGTCGCCCCCGTTACTTGGTCGTCGCATTGTGCAGCTGCGTCGAATACTTTCGCCCCACGCAGACTCGTCCAAAACTTCAAGAACGTTTTCTACGCTTACACTAGACCCTCGTCGGCTGCTATTTCCACTCCTACGTTGATCTCCACCGTCCAAAGCCAAAGCGATAGATAGAGCACGACTGGGACAAAGTTGAGGTGATGGTCCTGGTGAAGATGCCGCTGATACTCTGCTAGGCGATGTAGAGCCCTGTTGGTTTATTGATAGTTCTTCATGCTCTTCATTGAATTTAGTGCTTATATCGGCCGTTTTCTGAGATAAAGAAAGAGAGGAGGGTATGGGTGACACGGTTCGGCTCACTGGTCGGATTCTAGTCGTGCCTTCGTCGACGGAAACTCCAGGTCCAAGCTTGGGAATTCCTACTGATGGTACAGATCTTTTCTTCTCCATGTGTTGTCGAAATCTTCTTGACCAGTACCTTTTGCTTTCTGTTAGTAGTATTAACTCAACCGAAAATTAACCTTACATTGTATCAAAAAACCCGAGAACTGTCCGTCGACGAACCTCCTCTTCTACTCTTTGTAAGCGGGCACGACGTCGCAAGAACTCTTCAAGTCTTAGGTTTTTATTATCACAAATTACGTTATAATGTGCCAATATCATCAGAACACTGGTAAACGAAATTCCCTTGTCGATTTCTGCCGAGATCATGACCTCTTCATAAAAAAGCTTGTACTGATGTCTTGCTTGCCTTATTGCAACTACGTCAATCTCAGCAAGCCTTATGTTCAGATTATTTATATTAAAATCTGTATTGAGGTGAGAGGATGCCGCAATTTCTATACTCTTTCCAGATGTCCCTTTAATGTCTTCAAGTATTTGTCTGACGGAATGTTCTGACGGGTATATTTTCATAGTCAAAATACCACTGAGCTCTTTAAGTAGGCGTGGGAATTGATCTTTGGTAATAAATCCACTTCCACTAGGATCTAATGTTGCCCATGCTTTCTTGAAGTGTCTAAGCTCCTCTCTATTCAGCTTATTTAAGCCACCAGAGTTTTGATAAACATAACTAAAGCTTTCGTAGATGAGAGAGACAAATAGGCTTGTGAAGATGTACATGCTTAGGATGTTCCAAGAGATAAACAAAGCTCGAGACCATTGAGAGCTACCACAGTCGCTATTAAAGAAACTCGAGTCACTTACGCATAGAGGGGGTAGAATAGTAGCATAGTCCTCCATTACCACATTCCAACCTTCTCCACAAGACATACGAAAGAGAAGAATGAGAGCTTTGGGAACTGTCCTGAAATTTTGGTTATTATCTTCATTTGGGCCAAATCTTGTTAGCCCAAACGCCTGTGTCATAGCGATTGCATAGACAAGAAATAGAACAAACCATGTCGCCATAAGGTTCCCGATATTGACAACAGATGCAGCGGCTGTTTTAAATAGCTGATCTAGGGCGTCATTTCTTGGGATAAGAAGCAAGACCATCATGACTAGAAATAGTTTGTGAAGAAGTATAACTGCCCGGACTTGAAGGTGAAACAAGAGAAGTATAGTAGAGCCAAAGGATCCAAGTACAGCAAAAAGCGAAAACATATCCCAGGAGCTTCGTCTATATTGTGTCCAACCAAGGCCAATTATCCTAATCGTAGTGTTTGTCATAAAAATCAGCATAAAGATGAAGAACATGTAATTACGCATATGTTCCCACCAAGAGGATTGAGGATAGTATTCGACGAGAAGAAGAAGTAGGTGTAGTACAAGGATAATTGTAATAAAGCGGTGCCATTTGCCGTGTTTCTCAATAGCAACTTTATTGCACCAGGCTTTCAAGCTATTTGAACGATTGATTGATGGTCGTTTAGATGGTGCAACTTGCTTTAGTAGTTTCCTCAGTTCCATCCAAGATCTTTGGTCAGCGGTTAGAAAGGCTATACCGGTCTGTTCTGTATAGTTTCGCATGAAAACTGATATAAAGAGCGTAAGAACAAAAACAGTCGCAAGAAGGTTAAAGACGACGAAGAAAATGGCATTTCCTTGCGATGAAAATGGCTGTGGCTGAAGGCCCCGACCAACAATAGATTGTGCTGCCCACATTACATCTACCCAACCTTCTTGAGAGACAATTTGGAAAAGTATAAAAAGCGAGCTTCCAAAATTATCAAAATCAAAAAATGGATTAGATACAACTCGTGGGGCCAGTATAGGCCATTCGCTACTGAAGGGTGTGGAATTATATTCACCAAAACAGTCTGTGAGATAATGAATACTTGTTGGATCAGAGTCATTGCATGAAAGCATTTGGCCATTAAAAAGGTTTAGCCCATATATAGCGAATGGTAGTAGTAGCGATAAGGACACGAAAGCTGCCTAAAAATGTATTAATATTTAATTCTGCAGCCAAACAAAAAACTTACTGATAGAATTTTCCATCCTCCGATTATAATTAAAGAGTGAAAAGTATCTCGAGCACTATCACTTACATTCAATAGCCTCAGGGCTCTTAATGCTTTAAAAGCTCCAACAGCTCTAGAGACGGCACCATCGTTATAAAACAATGTAATGACATTGATCCAAAAAGTTATTAAGACAAATGCATCAATAAGTCCCCATGAACTTCGAAAGTAAGCATTGGGTGTCCAAAAAAAACCATCAGCAATAACTTTGATAAGGGCCTCGATGGTAAACAAAACGGCAAAGGCCATATCACTCCAGATAAACCAATTTGGTACACGAAACTCGTGGGTAGAAAAGTACTCCCTTTGATACAGTGGTGTTATTACACAGGCAAGCAAGACCATTGCAACAATAGCTGCATAAATTAAAGCTGAAAAGCTGTACCAAAGCACACGGTTTGGCTCGACCCCATCAAATCTTTCGCTTCCACGTCCAGGCCCGACAATTCTTTGGCAGAGACGACGGATAATATTGTCGGGCTTAAAAATAAATAGAGCTGTATTATAGTTTGGATGGCGTGCAAGATATTCACGTTGTGCTTTTTTACGCTGTGACGTAGCAGATACTGCCTCTTTTGCCATGGTTCTGGCGTCTATAAATTCATCGGCCCCAGTAGAAATTTGAATATTGGAATAAAATGGATTAGGTTCACGATTTTGTAGCTGGGTTTTAAGTCTTTGCCATATCGAGATCCTGGCCTTCTTATACTTAGCTGTAGTTTCTGTGCATGGCCTTGACGGTGCAGCAGGAGGTCTATTTTCGTTTATCTCGCCATCAAGAAAATCTCTGACAACTGCATCTTTTAGAAGCATCTCCATAGTTGCTGGACCGTGATCTAAAGGGTCCTTTCGATAGCGTGAACGTCCTAGCCGAAGTATTGCAGATAAAGAAAGATTACTACAGGAGCTACCCAGCTCCTTCCGATTAAGAAAAGCCTTAACTTGATGCATTCTTTTTTCGTCTTCAGAGACATCAAAGCTTTCTTGAATGACAGCTATGAACATATTCACCAAAATAAAGTTGCCTAAAATATACCACCCTATTAAGAACACACCAGGAATCCAGGACATCTTGTGAGCAGCACCAGAAGAAGTGAGATCGTAAAGTGGTGCCGTCCAGTTCTCACTGGAAAGAACTTGATACATCCCAAGAAAAGCATTCCAAATTGTGGAAAACGTCACCTGAATTACTTCCCCTGCTGCATCTTCAGACGGGAGCTCGCCACGAAAGAGTTGTACTGCGAGTATAGACATGAGATATGTTATGAGAAAAACAAAAAGTATCAAATTCCCGATACCACTTGAATGCCCTAGTACCAAGATAATCAAAGATCTTGTGAGAGGTACGGCTATAATGACCCTATAGATCCTAATAATTTGAAAAGCTGTTAGCCATGCAAAAGGCCTACCGGAGTTACGAATAGGTGGTATTAAAATCACTGCTGTGATGATTGCGATGCTAAGATCAGCCCAGTTTCTCCTTTTTAGAAGAAACCCTCGCCAGTCAACAGAAAAGCGAATAATTATCTCAAGTGTAAGAAGCAAAGTGACAATTACTTCAGACATGTCAATAAATTTAGCTCGAGAATTAGACATGCTGGAGCTCCTAAATGTTTGGCATAAGATGCCGTAAGCTATGATTGTGATCCAAAGCCAATGAGATTTTTCGTACAAATCCTTCAGCGTACTCGAGTTTAGACGAGGCGTCGAGTTTTTTGGACTTGCTGGTGAGTGCCTAGCATGAGTAGCAAATGCACTTGATTTACCCTCTTCTCTTATCACCTGAAATGAAGACGTAATGACCGCAATGAGCAAATTTAGAAGCCATAGCATCATAATCACGATTCCACCAGCGAAAAAAAGGGCTGCAGCCATGTAGTCTGAGTCCATGGTATAGTACATAATGTCCGTAAAAGTATTTGCAGTCATTATTACAAATACAAGCTCTAGTGACTGAAAAATATTATCGAAACTAACTGTACCATTGTAGGGAAGTTTTTCAGGCGGAAGTTCCAGGCAGTAAGATCCTCGTGGACACAGGTATCCTTTGGAAGATTCAGAGGCTGAGGAAAGGTTTTCTAGAGTACCGACCATCCATGGCTCACGTGCGCCGGTATTTATGTTAAGTTGACCTCCACAGAACTGAAATTTATTTATATATGCTGACCCAGTGGAATTGGTAGGGTCAGCTTGATCGACCCACACACATTGACGATCTAGGCTAGATTTAAAACTCTGAACCCCAATAATTGCAAAGAGAAGCCAGAAAAAACTAATTAAAAATGATACACTCACAAGGAGCGGTGCTGCTTTTTTTAAACTTCTTAAAATAATCTATTATGTGTCAGTTTGATGCAGTTGTGTGTTCAGCTTTGACTCACAGCTGTACCGTTGGTCAGCGCCAGGAGACGTAGAATTCTTAGACAGCTTAACATTCGAAAAATGTATAAATGGAATTCATCTTCAACGCCAGATATATTTAACACCATGGATATCCAAAATGAGCAGACAGCGACGAAGTCTAGCCTGTTGAACGAATGCCGTAAGAAAGCGCGCCTCGCTAACTGTTGGCGTTGTGCCTGCTCTACCGTTCTAACAGAGTCACCTTGAATATAAGTAAAAGAGTTAATTACTGTTTGTCCTCCAAGTTTAGGAATATTCTTTCTGACTGACACACTTCTGTGAGGTTTAAATACTTGTCGGTACCTGTGTAACATTTCTTGTTTAACTGATTTATGATGTATTCGGGTGCTGTGCTCTGGAGAGTTTACAATAAAGCCAGAGACTATTATACGAGCTGCCAGTTCAAAGGTAAATATTGTAAAAAGTGCAGTAAGTGCGTAGTCTACGATAAGGCTTATCCCATGGTCTTTTTGTCGAGGATGTTTATATACATCTTGAGATGACTCAAACGTCAGCAGAACAGTTTGTACAATGATAAGGATCAAGATAACGGGCTCAGTCAGTGGATAGACCAACAAATCGCACAACTTGTTGCGTATTAGACTATCCGGTGAAAATATTCCTAAGCTTTTTCCTCTCAAGGGATTTGGACTGCTTTCAATCTGGTTCTGGTCATTCTCTGGCCGCGAGACATCACAGTGGCTTGTTATTTTTTCGGCAGCCACGATTGATGAGCTTGTTGCAATATTAGAGCCAATAGCCAAATGATCCTCTTGGAGACAGTTTGTAGACTGAGATTCTGCATCTCCACATCTATTGGTTCGAGTTTCAGTAGTTAGGATAGCTCCCTCATTTTCCTCTTTGGATGCTTCTCTGCGAGCAGTTGCTTCAATTACTTCAACTTCGCCACTGATATTAACAACACGCTGTGACATAGCTCTTACTATCGACCCAGCTCTAGAAAGAGCTCCTGTAGCATTTGTGGGAGACCTCGACCTTATTCCGTAAATCCTAGAGCTGGCCGACCTTGCAGGGAGATTGGGTCGTAGCCCAGCTTCCGTATCTCGTAGTTCATTCCCTGTGTTTTTTGATTTACACTGCGCCCCGAGAACTTCTGGATTGCCATCTTGAAAACTTAACCGCAATTTATTATCTTTTTCTTGTTTATTGGAATGCATTTCGGCACCGCTGATTGGTTGGATTGAGCCTTGGTCTATCAGAAGTACTAGATCAGACTCTTGTGCGGCATTTAAAAGTGTAGAATCTTCCTTAACATCGCCGTAAGGAGATGACTGGCTTGAATATTCTGTCGAGTATCTATTTCCATCATTCTGTGATACCCGTGTAATGTTGATATTCGGGACTAAAAGGCCCGCAAACCCTGGAGGCGATTGGGTTTCGGTTGTCTCGGGTTTTCTATCGAAATATTTTGTATTTTCTGTTGAGACGCCTTTATGTTGTTTTGACACGTCTGTAGTAAGCTTGGCTCGGTGTAGAGATGCTTTGATATCTTGACACGAATCTTCAATTTCGGTGTAAATAGGTTTTAAATCGATGATAGAGTTTGTCGCTTGGTAACGTCTCTTCTTTGAAGTACCTGTCTCACCGGAACACAGTGATCGGCTTAGATTTTTCAAGGGGATCGATTGAGGGGTTGTCATTATTCTGAAAGTCCATGAGGATTTTGACCATACATTGATCTTTACCCTCAAGGACTTTGTTTAGGTCTATGTGACTTGTTCTGGTAACCTATATTTATTGGTATCCGCAGGACGCAGTCTCTGCTTCGAGTCGTAAATCTAGGTTTACGAATAGAGGATATTGATTGAAATAAACAATCCCACTGTAATATACGAGACAACTAGCATCTAGTTGGGATGTAAAGTGAACTGTTTCGAATGGTTTAGCTGTTGCTAGATATCGCTTGCCTCTTGATGTAAAACACAAGGCCACTTAACCTACTTGCATCTGTCCACCGATTTTTAAACCCATACATAGCTCATGTCCTACTTTGAAATATCGCCGAAAATAAATGAGCTGAATCCTCTTTCATCTTGATCTCGATAGTAAGCAGCCATTGGGTATGCCTATTTGTTTTTCAATATAGTTACGCTGTTTACGCCAGGCTGTTATGTCACCGCTCGTAAATGCCTTAGGCAAAACCCCATTGGCCTTGTACCAGAATGTATCTAGCGTCGTTCTGTAATGCTTAGGAAGAATACAGTTGAGGGACGCATGTTATCAGACTTTCATCCATCTATCTATGCAGCAGCGGTGTTTGCATCAGGTACGTGAAATAATCAGTATTGTGGAAGTCATCAATCGGGCTTCACATAATTCATAATATTATCCAATTATAGAAACTCAATATGGTTTCGCGAAAGCGAGCACGACAGGAACCAATGGCAGAGGAGCCCTCAGAAGATACAAGCTTACTATATCGCGTACGAAACATGTGGGAATTCGCAAATTTAGCTCAATGGATTTCTCTGTTCGGTAAAGCCGTAAAACTCAAGGACGATTTAGATGTTGAGGTGCGAAAATATTCTCTTAAGCAAACCACGTCTCTATGTTAACATTATTATCGTAGTGTATTGAGTCAGAGTGTATGAACCCATCCTCAACGCTTTTAAGTGAAATCGGTCTCGCGCTCCTTAAATTTGTATCTTCCCATCGGGGTCTCACGTATGTGTAAGTCACTTGCTTGCATGCTTTGGCTGACCTTAAAAAGGCCCGAGATCTTTGATGAGTACACGCGAAGACAATATCTTGCCAAAGCTCCTCATTGTAATCCTTTCGGAGAAAATGAAACTCCTGCAAAATTTAATGATTTCGACGTCTTTACGAAGGTGTGTATATCATTCGGTTGGACGTAGGAAACAATGCAGCTTAAACGCGTGTGAATAGATTAAGGTGCTACAAAAACTTACGCAATGGACTATGGGAAACTCTGAGCGTATCCGTGAAAAATCTCTGGAACAAATAGACACTGAGCAGACAAGATGGGTAGGTCAAGACCCAATGGGAGTCAATCTTCCTAATGCTATTCTAGCGGACAGAAACATTCGGACTAGACTCTGAGAATCGAACATACATAGTATTAGCTGACAATCGTCTGTATCGTCAAACGAATCTCCAGCAAGACCCACCTATGAAAAGACCTAAGAAGGTCTCAAGAAAATCCAAAAGCATCCGTCGATGCAGCAGGCGTACCAAAGAACTTAGATCTAATCATATTGGAGATGAGATTGGCGGAGATGAAAATGGGGAAAGTGTACAAGTGGAAGTTCCCGGCCTTATTGAGGAAAAACATGAAGGGCTTGGTTTCATGAAATGGGAATGTATTGCTGTCAGCTATGATGATTATTGCGCATTCTTATCCTCTATAGAAAAGTCTAGAGACCCAAACGAAAAGCTCCTTCGGAAAAAAATTATCGAAGATGTTCTGCCGGAATTGGAAAAGCTAGAACAGTCTAGGCGTAGAAAGCAGGCACAAAAGGAGCGTGAAATGCTAGCAATTGAAAAGGCAGCATGTGCGAAGAGATCAAGCAGAATTGCAGGCCGATTGGCGCAGCAAAAAAAAGATGAGGCTCAAAATACGGAACGAAAGAGAATTGCTGAATTGGAACTTGCTACAAAAAAACAAAATAAATGGAACCAGCTTGAGAGCGAATATTCCCGTACTCCAACAAGAGAACAACGCCATAAAGAAAGAATAGCTCGCCGTATAACACAAGAGGTAGAAACATCTAATCAATCCAATATCGCCGGAAAGTACGAAGACGGAGAAAGAGAATTGGTCGAACATTTTATCAAGAAAGAAACTAGACGAAACAAAATCGAGCCAAGGAAGGTTAAAAAAGATGATGATTGGACACTTGATTGTATCTGTGGAGCATTCGGGCAAATTGACGATGGCACTCACAGCATTGCCTGTGATAAATGCAGCACATGGCAGCACAGCAGTTGCGTAAAAATAACCAAAGAAGAAGCCGATATGGATAATTTTTCATTCACATGTAGTACATGCAAGCGCCGCGATGAAGACATAAAACGTGCAAAAAATCAGCCATCAATAAAAATTAAAATTAAGTGTCCTAGTTTATATTCATCTCCTCTCATCACAAATAGAATTTTAAGTTTACCAACAACTTCAGATATACACTCCAGTGTGGAAAGTAATCATCCACTCCAAAAGAATTCCCCCAAGGACATCTCACTCGATGTGCATGGATTTTCAAATGAGCAAAGCTTAGAAGATCTTCAACTGAAGTGCAATAATTCCCCAGCGATCTGCAAAGATGTTTGCTCACAAAATAGAGATCTGGAAATTACTAATCACCAAAATCTGACAGAAGCCATGGAACTAACTAAAATTGTGTCAGATCCCATTTCTTCATATCTTGACTCACAAAATAACTCTGAAAATGCATCCTATACAAATTTACCTGTTTTCGAGGCTCCTCAACAACAAAGTCAAGATCAAGATCTAATGCCCCTACCACATAGCTCAAGAATAAACCCAAATCAAAATGAACCAAGGTGTCCTTTAATTACCGGAATGCTCTATCCTAAAGATAAGAGTATTCTGAATTCAAATCATAACTTTGCCACATCACCTACCAAATTTTCCAAATTAAATGGATCTGATAATCCTAATTCTAACCTAGTACATATTCCAAATCTTCAGCACACATCTTGTCAGACTCAATCCAATGTTATCGACAATAAAAATTTCATCTCTTCTAAACAGCAATCTCCAATAGCTGTAATTCCAAACTTGACCCTAACTTCGAATCCAATACCCACTTTAGCCAGCCCAAATAATCCAAATTTAAATCCGTCGAACACTTATGGATCGCCAAGTCTGATCCCTCCTCATTCACCGCTAAGGCTATCGCTCAACACAGAAGGGCATGAATTTGACCACACCTCAGCCTTACCGCCAGCAAAGACTGGCATTTCGCCCGTGAAGACATCACCACTCAGAGTCAGCGATACGGACATTAGCTTTAGCCCACCGGCCCCAACCATTTTACCACCAGTTGCCACCTTGATTCCAAGCCCGAAGCTGGATTATATTTGTCCACCAGTTAAGTCCTCTGAACCGGAACGTACTAGGACAGCCTATTAGTAGAATTAAAACTTACAAATACGTATATGCGCGGAGAGCAAGAACTACCGCTTTAGTGTTATTATTTTCAAATTATAACTAAATTATAATGAGCTTTGTTAATAGTCTTCCAGCTTCAAGTTTCTCTCCAGAATGATAAAAAATTATGGTACGAAATGACAACGAATCGATAAATATCTTTCAACTCTCTGTTCTAATGATCAGCCATCATCCTAAATCCTAGTAGTTGCTAGGAGGTTTAAGGTCACACAAGAAAATCTTTTTATGTTATTCTATTCTGTAAATGAATATAGTATCCTACGTGCTACTTCTAATGGTGCTAGTTTAAGGACCCCAAGAAATAAGGTATCTAGCTGACAGAGAAACCATTGTTACTCCATTTACAAACAAAAAGCGGAACTGGAGTGATGATATCTTCAAACCATTTCAAGCTTAGCAAATCACTCATGTGACTTAAAAATTTAAGCATCGCATAGACTTTATTGATCCAGCTAAATAGGCAAAATTGTATCAATCTTATCGAATCCAATAACTCAAAGTAATTAGCGGTATCTGCTGGAAAGCGATTCTACTTGGTGTGCACTAATTGCGTAGCACCTCATTGTTGCTGGGTCATTTTCTTGATGACTCAGCTAATACAACGAACTCCACGTTCATAATACCCTTAGATAAATAAGATAGATAACAAGATACATTCCATACCTCACTTTTTTACCTTCCGTTTTGCATTAAACCAACCTTTCGTGTACGTACATGTATGCCAAACGACAGAATCTTCATTTTCTCTCAATACTGTGATCCATTCAAGTAATCATAACTCTGTCATTAAATTTCATATAATCACTAGTAACCATATGCTCAATTAGAAGTAAGTCTAACCATTTAGAATTATTAGTCAGGATTTGTATGATAATGCAAATATTTAATGAATTGAGATGTTCTTGAAAGACAATAGATTGATGGTAATTAATAACTTCTTCCTTGACAAGACAATCTACCACGTCGTCTACTATTCTTTATATCCTCTGCGTAGAATAGTCTAAAATCCCCACCATGGCCACCTGAAAATCACCCTTTCTCCACGGATCACCTTTTCTCCTGTACCATACGCCCCACCTGGCCCACACCCCCTTGATGCCTCTATGTGCACCCCATTCGCATTTTAAGGAGCGCTGTCCTGTCATGGCCTAGCCTCGAAGACGGAATGTGTGTGTTTGTTTTTATTGTACTACTTGAATCTATGACTATCTAGCACATTGGGCTCCTCTCTGATCCAGGCTACACCATTTACAGTGCTCCTTGCCTCTCATGTTATTCGAGAGATCTTTGATATATTGCCCTTGATGAATAGCCATTCAGCTCAGTGTTTACCCGTGGAATTCGGCCACCTTTTCCACTGAACCTTCTACCCAAGAATAAAACAAAAAAAAACAAAAAAAGGGTAGCAATTGAAACTGTGTGCGCGGGAAAAAGTCTCAAAAAACCTGCAGCCCCAGCCAGGCGAGGCCTAGACACCAGGACCACATGTGGTGCGCATATTCATCTGTATCTCCCTTTTTTGTAACATTCGTGGTCGACTTGATCCAATCCGCCATCTCCGTATCGGGTGCTGGTTACGCTCCGGAAACTCATCAGATGGCTTCTACTCCGTGACCAAGAGTGGGTAATGAAAAGAGCTTCGACCCTAACATCTGATCTAAACGTGGCTAGCTTCATGATAATGGTGATAGGTGGTTATGCTTGGGGATGAAGATGATATAGACCGCGAAAGCGGATGGGAATTCGCACGGAAATGAGGACTTTGTTCCTCAATTTCTGCTCTGCAGACTCTACAGTGAGAGCTGGAGGTTTGTAGGGGACCCCACTGACGGGTGTTGAGATTAATCCCCCTCGAAGACGAAGTGGTCCTAGTGACCAGTCCTATTCCGGGCAAAGCCCGTCACAGATACAAAATCATCGCCCGAAAAGTTTTCAACCAGCAAAAAACCTAGTATAATTTAATTCCAGTTACGCTCATAAATCGCACCAAGGTTTGCCTCTCATCAGCTAGTATAGAAAAGCTGACGAGGACCCAAGTACTGTCTAGCTTCGAACGAAGCAGTTCATAGACTGTGAACGACCTCTAGAAAAGCTGAAAAGTCTTTAGTGATCATTGTGCTTCTGATGTGGGCTCAGATAGTAAATTATTGCAATGCCACAATACTTACGGTGATCGGTATACTTTGAAATTATGAGCATCTTTCCTTCATACTGCATTCTTATTTATTTTTATTGTTGAGCGATCTTCTCCATCATTTGAATATGTATGGTGGTAATACTTTGGGCATAGGTTGTGGGTAAGGTGGGGTCGCATCTACGGAGGACAGAGATTAAACACCTGTACGCGGTGTCCTCTACGAACCTGGGTGTAAAATATTCTCCAATAGCCGAAATTCAGTCACGACAAAGGGTGAATTTGAGAGTTTTCGTCGAGTTTTCGTCGAGTTGGCGATCGGGAGGAGTGGTGTTGGCTCATTATTGGTCGAAAATCGGACTTGCAGAGATTTCACGACTGCACAACTCAACGAAATCAACCATCTACACCCCAGATACTTATCGACATTAAAACTTGTTGTCGATATTGTATGTGTATGTCTGTTACCAAAGAAATTGGAAATAATTCATGAGATTGCTTCATGAGTGGCTAGATTTGATTCCGATGTAATATTGTAGAAGACTTGTCCCAACTATCAGAGGGCTACAACGTCTTTATCTATCTACAGCTAAATTCCCCATATTCCAAACACGCTAGCCACACAGGACGTGGCATGTAAAACCTAATTCGTATCATTATTTTGGGGGTTGAGGTTTACCGTGCATATGCTACTCGAGTCGCATGTCTGACTACTATGCGACACGCTTAGGTATCAATCCAACAACACACACCAAAACCGAAACTACTCACAACCCTGATGATGACCCCATGAATAATTGGAACAGTAGCCTGCAACATAGCACAACTCAACGAAATCAACCATCTACACCCCAGATACGAACCGCAGACAGATTGTAACCCGTCTGATGTTCGTATTACGACAACCGACACCTTCAAAATCTTATTTTCTTTTTCTCTGGAAATCCATTCTCAGCCAAACTCATCTCGCGGCCCTCTCAACAATCATCTCACAATCCACCTAAGCAATCCCATACCTCCAAAAGCCAAATCGCCAACTAAGAAGCAAGAAGATTTCCGACCCTCCGCAACTGCCAACCGCTGTGAAGGTACGGTCGAAATACCGGCCTTAGATGCGTCCTCACCCCGGCCAAGGGCACCAACAACTCGACCTACGACGAATCGCCACCGACGAAATACGTACGACATTTCGCCGGCATACTAACTAGAGCGTTCGACAAAGGCTGGGGCGCCGGTGCCTCGGTCTCGAGCTCTCAGTCGCGTTTTCGACCTCCATAGATAGGGGTACGGCAGCGACGGGGCAAGGCCGGAGGGGTGGAAATTCAACAAAGTTTCTTGGATGATGATATCGGCTGAAGGATAGAGGGATGCTACATGAAGGAACCAAAAGGGGATACAAACTGAGGAGGCCTTGGTGGGCGACTGGATGAGGGCTCCAGTGAAGAAAACGACCCCTGGATGAGATGAGGAGATGCTGAGATGCTGAGATGAGCCAAAGCTGGGAATGATTCGAAGGGAAAAGTTACAGATGGCGAAGGTGTCAAGGGCTCGGGCGCGTGGTGGCCGAGGCTAAGGAGGAATTTGCGCTTCGGCGCGCCAAAAGGGGGTTTTCTGGACGGTTGGGCTTGACATGATTCAACACATGGGTGAAGTCTGAGGTGGTCCGGTCATTTAGGTGGGACGAGGTAGGTGTACTTAATGGTAGTTATCCTGATCCAGCCCGGCCCCACCCGTGCTCAAGCTCCAGTAGGAGTGCAACGGGAATCACTATACCTAGCACGTAAATGAACAAGACAAGACAAGTCAGTCAAATTTCGCATCATTGAGGAAGTTGGCCCACAAGGCAATGATTCACTATACTCTGCATCAAATTAACCTCTCTTTTCCAACGAGATTAATTCCTGCCTGAGCCGCATCAAGTCTACCTGTGCGACCAAGCACATCCATACGAATAACCGCCGAATGAAACATATCATAGTGAATAATCTGCGACGCAGATTTTTGGCATGGAGGTGAGAGGCACTAGGATAAGTGTTGAAGGAGAGTAGGAATTTATTGGATAGTGCGGCGGTACATCATCTAGGCCAGCCTCTGAAATAGCATCTGGATTGCTTGGACACAAATCCCACTTGAGACAGGAGATCGCTGGTTCGAATCCAGCACTGCTCGCCCACACTTCTCGCGATGCTTGTATGCATAGATGACGAAGGCATGCTTGGATAATCAAAAATTTGATACATTTTTTAGTGGTTACCCCCGAAACAAGGTTAACTGTTTGTATGAGCAAGAAAATCTTATAGAGGTATTTGCGAACAGAACTGGGAGCATGGATGTCTCTAAAACCAGATGAACCATCCCACATCTAAAGAAAATACTGACCATTTGTTATGGCTTGATAGCTGTATATATTTAAAAAGTTAATTAATAAAGTCATTACTCATATTCTTCAATGTCCATTTCCAAGTATTATTCTACATGGAAATTTTAACATCAATATACAAGCCACGTAGGCTAGTATAAACAATGGAGAAAATATCAAATTAACTGTCAGTTAATCTTGTTATGATGGCATAGTAAGTCTCACATGACTTGGTTATGTGAAATTTTTGTAAATAATTATAGCCTTCATAGTTTCATCTACAACCTCATGCTTTAGTGGAAACACTTATCTTGAGTCCAGGTGGAAATTTCAGTAGCCAGTGATACCAGGGAGCTCAGCACTTTGAATTTTTTACGAAAGAGCTTTAATCTGTTGATTTTATCTCATATACAGTTGGTTCAAAAATTTATAGCATGCCAGTTACTGCCCGAAATCGGGCAGAGACCTCTTTTGTTGACTGGGATAATCATGGATACTTCTCTTTTCCGGCTAAACAAACAAGATAACCTTTCAAAAATTTTCTGCCGTGGAGAAGCAGGAGAGTTTTTACCGGATCAATTCTAGAGTTCTTGTATACCAACTCTTGACAACTATAGAAGAGATTCCTGGTATTAATCTATATTTCTTATCCGGTAGTCGGTATCGTGACTGCGGTACGTGATAATTTCTCACATTCCAATATTTCCTCGCTTTCCCCCCTTCTTGCTGCGTTCGATATGACCCTTCAGCACCCGGCGCGTTTGCACGAGACTTCGTTTCTGCTTACTTTTGGCCTTTCCAAGTGTCATAAGGAAATTCTTTTTGCGAGCTTTCTCCTTGTTTGTGCTGCTTTTACCCTCGCCCTCTTTCTTAAGACGTCGCAACGCCTGTGTGCTTTTGTGCTCGCTACGATCGCCTTTGCCCTCGCGTGCTAGTGCTACCATTTCATTTTTGGTTGAGCGTCGCAATTTTGAGAGTCCCTCGATGGATTCTGCTGTGATAGCATCATCAACATGCTTTTCAGCCATAGCCTTTAGACGAGAAGATGCCATTTTTGTACTCTTGGATGACTGAAGTGAGCCTTTAAGGGCTGTAATATTACGAAGTTCTTGTAGTTTTGCCAAATCGGCTGGAGTTAGAATTTGAGTCGTTGCAAGGTTCAGGCTGCGACTTATGCTTTGCTCTTTCAGATTATCTTCTAGAACCTCATCAGTTTTGGCGGGATAAGATTTCGTTTTTTTTGTTGGGGGCTTATCATCATCACTATCAGATAATTCTATTTCAGCGTCCGATTCCACATCAATCCATCCACCGGAATCTTCTGAAGTATTGCTTTGTACATCCCAATTTTCCCATCCATTTGCTTCGTTCTCATCAAAGTTAGACTCAGAATCTTCCTCGCCTGATACAAGGCCTTTCTCGATACGTCTTCGCTCGCGCTCCTGAGTCTTCCATTCCTCGAGTAGTTCCAGTCCCTCAATACAGCCAACCTCTTCTTCACCAAATCGACGCCCTTTTATCGTTCCTAATTTAAGGCCTATAGTTGCAGATTTCCCTCTATCTTTTTTTTTGAGTAGATCAGCACCTACTTCACGATACAGCGAAAGGAGACCTTTTGCAGCCATCATAGTTCCTTTATCTTTACTTTTACGGTACATAACTAGATCCTGCAATAGAGTGTCGCTCATGGCCAAAGGCTGCCGGACACAAATTTCTCTAATGGCATTAAGACCAGCCGATGCGACCTCGGAAGCAGAAGCTTCGGATACGAACTCATTAGCAATTTTTTGAACCAATGGTTCTAGTGCATCAGGTGGAACTAAAGAATGTGTTGCTTGTGCGAGACAGGCAAGAAAAGTAGTTACCGAGGGTTGTCGTGGCGTGAGATACTTGGTGAAGTATGAATAAAGCGAAATTACTGTCAATCTGTGTAGGCCTATCAGTCGAGAAACGAGCTGTAGTACAAGTAATTTTTGTTCAAGGTTAAGTTTCGATTTGGTATTTTGAAGGTGTTTTGAGAAAAGTAATTCAGCAAAACTTTGCGGGTCGTGCAGAAGGTGGAAAGCCGAAAAGTTAAGCGGGTGCGGGGACTTCTTCTTTTTTTCATGTTTCTTTAATTTCTTAACAGCTTCCTCGATATTCTTTTTAGTCTTCTTTCTCTTCTTGTTAATACCTGCTTGATGCTTTAATTTTCCAATATCGATCCCTCCATCTTCGTCACTACTCTCGTCATCTAATTCTTCCCGCTCTTTATCGCCGCCCAAAAAAAACCGTATCCCACCTCCAATTACCTTGACGTTATCTACTAAACTTGCTTCTTTCATGATCTCGACTGTTTTGGCATCTACCCAGATCTGTCGTCTCCATAGCTCACGCGTTATTTTAACTACCCAGAGACCTTTTGGTGAGGAGAGATCGGATGTTAGGAGGTTATGTAGAGTCGTCTGCATGGACCTATTTAAAGGGTGATTTGTCGATTTAGAATTAGAGTTGCGAAGATCTGATAATATTTTCTGATACAGCACGGTGCGTAAAGTTTTACTCGGGGTCTTTAAAAGTATAGGAAGTAAAGTATCAAGAAGCTCTGCGGAATTTATGATGTTTTTCCTCTTCAATAAGACCAAGCTTCCCACAATTTTCTCACGCAACTCACTTTCTAAGTGGGCATGGTGAGTGGTAAGAATCTTTTTCAAGTCTCCGGGAAATTCGACCGTTTCTCGAGGGAAGCATTCTGCGACATGAGCGACGAAGTCGATAAGATCATGAAACGAGGTTATTCCACCTGTAGTTGTTGCGCCAGGAGAAGCTAGAAATATATCACGCTGGGATTGATATTGCTGATACTGATTAAGAAAATCTTCGCTGTATGACCTGAAACACGTCAAGTAGACATTCCCTTCCAACTTTCAGCCAGCTTACTTGGGATCCTTTCTGATCTTATATTGAAGATTTGATCTGTGAAAGTTAGGAAAATTTTAAATTTTAAAATCCGAATCTTACAGGTCTGCATCAACTTTTTCTAGCGCGCCTAAACGTTTCTTGCCCATACTATTTGTTGCCGTGAATAAAAGATATTGCTTTAAGAATAACTCTTTAAGCGCTGATTAGACTGGCAAGATATAAAAGAGCTCTCAGAAGTTTACTTGTTTGTATGTGCTGGTTAAAATTGACATATATTTATTCTGTAGATTCTAGTTTATGCTATCCCCTTTGCACGATCGTTCCTTAGCGTAAGCGGATGTAAATTGAGTGCAAATTTTATACGAAATTTAAGGCACCAACTACGAATATAAATTTAAGGTTTTAAATTTTCCTTGTATTGCATCCGATGAGAGCAACCGATTGTACTTGGAAAACATGCATTTCTGTAGAATGAATTATTTTGACACTTGTAACACTCTTACTATGACTTCATTTGCAAACAGTGCTCAAAGCTAACCCTCAAGGCATAAGTCCTTTCTGAAAACCCCAATACAGTGAAAGGCATTAGTCCTCAAAGTTGTAGAATATGCTCGTTTCATCCTACAAATACGATATCACCGCGTGGAATGTGGTGAATAGACATTATTTCTCAATCTTAAAGCGACGGCTACTGTAGGTTTTCTTAGGGGCGAATTAACAAATAAATTTAATTAAGTCTACGTATATCAACTACCTCGATCCAAAAGAACTCCACACAAGAAGAGTTTTCCACATCAGCTCTGACCACCTATCCTTCTATGATCAATTCATGACTAATACAGAGCTCATTCCTGATGAGTTTCAGGACTAAATTTACTCCAAGCATAGTAAGATACTGTATGCTGGTCGAAAATCCGACTCGCAGAGATTTCACGACTGCACAACTCAACGAAATCAACCATCTACACCCCAGATACGAACCGCAGACAGATTGTAACCCGTCTGATGTTCGTATTACGACAACCGACACCTTCAAAATCTTATTTTCTTTTTCTCTGGAAATCCATTCTCAGCCAAACTCATCTCGCGGCCCTCTCAACAATCATCTCACAATCCACCTAAGCAATCCCATACCTCCAAAAGCCAAATCGCCAACTAAGAAGCAAGAAGATTTCCGACCCTCCGCAACTGCCAGCCGCTGTGAAGGTACGGTCGAAATACCGGCCTTAGATGCGTCCTCACCCCGGCCAAGGGCACCAACAACTCGACCTACGACGAATCGCCACCGACGAAATACGTACGACATTTCGCCGGCATACTAACTAGAGCGTTCGACAAAGGCTGGGGCGCCGGTGCCTCGGTCTCGAGCTCTCAGTCGCGTTTTCGACCTCCATAGATAGGGGTACGGCAGCGACGGGGCAAGGCCGGAGGGGTGGAAATTCAACAAAGTTTCTTGGATGATGATATCGGCTGAAGGATAGAGGGATGCTACATGAAGGAACCAAAAGGGGATACAAACTGAGGAGGCCTTGGTGGGCGACTGGATGAGGGCTCCAGTGAAGAAAACGACCCCTGGATGAGATGAGGAGATGCTGAGATGCTGAGATGAGCCAAAGCTGGGAATGATTCGAAGGGAAAAGTTACAGATGGCGAAGGTGTCAAGGGCTCGGGCGCGTGGTGGCCGAGGCTAAGGAGGAATTTGCGCTTCGGCGCGCCAAAAGGGGGTTTTCTGGACGGTTGGGCTTGACATGATTCAACACATGGGTGAAGTCTGAGGTGGTCCGGTCATTTAGGTGGGACGAGGTAGGTGTACTTAATGGTAGTTATCCTGATCCAGCCCGGCCCCACCCGTGCTCAAGCTCCAGTAGGAGTGCAACGGGAATCACTATACCTAGCACGTAAATGAACAAGACAAGACAAGACAAGATACTGTATGCAGGAGCAGCTGTCCACCCCAAAGAACTGTCTCAATTTACAATTCTTCACAAGCCAAAGTGACTATATTGCATTCCATTTACGATATCTTACTGTCACTTACATTTCTCAATCACCTATGCCGCCCCAGTCCTCCGCAGAGGCTGGCTCCTGGCCACCTCTCCCCACCCAACACGCGACGCGCCAGGACGTCGAAATGGATCTCAACGATCCACAATACACACTACCGCCTACACCACACAACACCACACCAGACTCAGTCTGCTGCGCGAGTCAACAGCACTCTCCAAACCCGAGCCCAAACCCCACGGCCGTCAACATGACCAACTTTCTCGCCGAACAAGCGAGGGCTTTCCAGGAACGTTTTGCAGAAGCAGAGCGCATCATCAGCGGGTACTGCAACCTGCTCGAATCGACAACAGACGAAGAGTTCTGAAAAGCCATCGAACTCACCGGTTTGGCTCTTCAAAGCCGGATTACAGAAATTCTGCGGGGCAATTCAGCCACCCCCAAAGCCACAGCTCAAGCTGCAAGTGGCCACATCATCAAACCTCGCCTCGAGACAGCTAAAGAGTCGAGGAAGAAGACTATTGCGAGCGTCGTGCGTCCTGTACAGATCCTCGCCAGGAAAACACGAGATTAGGAGCAGCCACACCACCGGCTGCTTCTGCAACACCAATCCCTACCCATGGGACAGAACAAACCACCAACCAGACTCCCGAGAGATCCTGGACAGAGGTGGTGCGTAAAAAGGCTAAGCCAGCAACCACAGCTGCCACAAAAACAACTACTGGCCACACGCCCACATCGAAACCCAAGGCATCAGCAGTGATGCAGGAAAAAGCTGACGAGCGCGTATTCTTACGGCTCAAACCGGATCACCCGTGGAGACGCATGTCTCCATATTTCATAAAAATAAGCCTGGCTAGTAAACTACGCCTGGCTAACTCATCGATCAGACAAGTCATAGTCGTGAATTCTGGATTTGCCATACAAGCTGACGGGGAAGGAGCAAGAAGCGCGCTACTGACAGGAGCAAATACCCTAGACAGCTCTGAAATGAAGTTGGAAGCCGCGTCCAATTGGATTTCAGTGCTTGCACCCAATATTCCAGATAGGCTATATACCCTCGAGGGACCAGTGCCAGTCACGCCAGAAATGGTGATCGAAGAAGCCACCCTCAAGACCGGTGTCAGACCAACATCTGCTCGCGCTTTTCCGACTAGCATGGCAAGGCCATCAACAGACTGGGTGCTACATTTTGCGACAGGAAAACCAAAGCTTGGTGAACAACTATTTGAAGAAAGTGGTCGGCTGCACGAACTCCAGCGCAAGCCAAAAATTGCTCAATGCAACCGATGTTGGGGACACCACCCTACAAAGATCTGCTCGCGAGCAGAACGCTGTTCACGATGCGGCTCTGTCGAGCACAAGGCCACCAATTGCAAACAGGCTATCCCGAGATGCATAAACTGCCATGGACCACACTCTGCCGTCGAGCCTAACTGCATGGCTAGGCCGACGCGGGTTGCTGGCAAAACGGTACAGCGCACAAGAGACCAGCTGTCGGTGATCCGCGAGCAGGGCCAAAAAGAAAGCAATGCTTCGATCAGAGAGATGGAAGCAAAGCAGAAAGTGTTGGAAATACAGTTTCCTGCTTTTCTTTCTATCGACCAATGTGGTTGCATGTATCTTGCCTGAACTATATTTCTGAGTTCGGGCAGGATCCCACACTTCTGATCCAATCGGACTCAACGTTAGAGTCTGCTTGAATCCCATTCTTCCCGAACAAATCCAGTCATTGGTTTGTTCGTACTTCTATTGCGTGATCCAGTATTCTCAGTCAGTGGATAATTATTTTCTGGTACGGGGTCCCACTTATTTCTGCAGTCTAGTCGGTTCCGGGTAACCTCTATTTCTTATAATTCCACTGTATATATCATAATACCTGTAGTCTATTAGTCAATTAAGCAAACTGAACTTCTTCTCCGTTCTCAGGCAATTCTTACTCCGAAGTCTTCTCTATACTCTAACAGAAAGCCACCGAGGCTACTGCTGAAAACGAAAATATAAACGTTGCTCAATGCCCGTAAGGGACCACAACCAAACCGAGCTTCATACAACCGCAACAACAATATCGTTCCTCTGCGCGATTTTGGCAGAGGAGACCCCGCTACGGACATGATCCTACAATCCGCTTGGGATTCAGGAACCGATGTCCTACTTGTTACGGCTTGAGTTTACAGATGATAGGTTTATTGTATCACGTGATGTGGAGTCTGGTTGAGTAAGCGTTGGTCCCGGAAGCGAGCTGGTGGAGTTTTCAGCCCAGCGAGGCTGCAGACCTCTTTCTCTCCTTGTCTTTTCTTTTAGTTATCGTGCGTAGCTTTAGGTCCAAATATAAAGCAATTACTCTTTTATATTTCGAGGGAGTCTTCTAGTGTCAACCTGAGGTCGGTCGTAATACTACTTATCCAGGAACCCTGGACCCAACACAAGGACGGCTTCTGGCTCACCAAGTCGCATCCCGGGTTCGACGAGCACTTGCCCCCCCATGTCACAGCCCACCCTGCAAGGCCACGCTCCCTCATCTATACGCGAAAAGGGATCCATTGCCAACAGCAAGCAATCTGTGAGACATCACCAGATCTCACCGCAGTAACGGTAGAAGGAGTCAGATTTGTCTCCGTCTACCGCGCTCATGGAGCAGACCTTTGCCGCTGCTATCATGGGCTCCATCTGGGCCTACAGTCATTGGCGGAGATTTTAATGCTGTTCATACCGACTGGCAGCCAATGGCCACTAGGCTACACGGTGACGGCCAGGTGCTCACCGAGTGGATGTTCGAGCACGGCATGGACCCATCTTCCACACCGGGCGTCCCGACATACGACTTTGGAAACACACTCGACCTGGTCTGGTCTAACGCTGGTGCCCTTGCAGACGTCTCGACAGAGCGTGACTCAACATCAGACTATAGAGCGCTTGCAGGAGACGTTCCCCGCCCGAACTCGAAAGTCAGAGCGGTTATCAAGACGGGTCAACCGGTACGAGTGACAGACGACGCCCTCGAAGACTTCGCCAAGGTACTTGGTAGATGGGCTCATGGAATTGGGCTACAGCCAATGGACTCAATAAGCGCGGTAGACAACCTCGCTGATAAGCTGGTCCAAACCATTAGCGATGCAATTAGGGCTACCGGAAGACGCGG